GGCCGAGGCCTGCCTGCAGTGCATCCCGTCGGTGGAGGAGGCCCTGAGCCACCTGCGCTTCGCCCTGGTGCCCGGGCGCTTCCAGGAGGAGCAGATGCAGGCCCGCGCGCAGTCCCTGCTGCTGGGCATGGAGGGCCCTTTCTTCCGCGACTACGCGCTGAACGCCTTCGTGGGGAAAGTGGGTGCGTGCCGGGGCGCGGGGCCGCCCCAGGGAGCCGGGGAGGTGGGCTGTGGGGCCCGCTGCGCCCTGGGCTGGGCCAGGTCTGAAGGAAGTTGTAGGCTCCCTGGGCTCTCTGGGGACACCCATTGGAAACCTCATTCCTTGTCGCCCCTAGGGACAGCCAAACTGGACCGGGTGGCCACTTTTGTTAAGAATCAAACAAAGTTGATCTCGGAACAACCCCTGAAAGGTAGGAGCGTCCCCTGCTCCCTTCCCTCGGGTCAGCAAGCCATCCCCTTCATAAAACCTAATGAAATAAAAAAGTATATATTCTTTTTTTTAATGAAGAGAAAATGCGCGTGGATTAAGCCTCCGGTGAATCCCCTCTGTCCATAGACCGCGCGAGTGGATGACGGCAGATGCAGTTAGGTTCAACTTCAACGCGTTATCATTTGATCTCCCTGTGGACCCATTTTCATTTTCTCATGTTGAATACCGCCTGCTTTCTTTTCCCCTGAGGCTACTCTCGATTTTACTTCGTCATTGCCCGTTGTTTTTTGTTTTGCGTGTTGTTGATTTTCTGTACGTGAAATCTAGGATAGGTACATTTATAGGCAATTGCTGGATGAATGATTTCGGGGGGGCGGGCATGGAAGGAGAGGTTGGGAGGAATTGGGGAGCTAATGACCATGAGTCCAGAAAAGAAGAAATTGTTCTAAAATTAACCGTGGTGATGACGGAACAAGTCTTTTTTTTTTTTAATATTAGAGCGAATGGAATTTATGGTTTGGGAATTATATGCCAGTGAAACTGTTAAAAATAATGAAATAATAAATTATCAAGGGTTCGTGGGGGAGGGGGGAAAATGAAGAGTTGATACCAAGGGCTCAAGTAGAAAGAAAATGTTTTGAGAATGAGGGTGGCAACAAATGTACAAATGTGCTTGACGCAATGGATGGATGGATGGATTGTGTTAAGAGCTGTACAAGCCCCCAGCAAAATGATTTTTTAAATGAAATAAAACAACAAAAGTAATAATAAAGAATGGATATATGGATTGTTATAAGAGCTCTAAGAGCCCCCAATAACATTATTTTAAAAAATAATGAAATAAAAGTAAAAATGTGGGCCCCAGTCACTGAGCCGCCCCATGGACTCAGCAGCCCCACCACCAAACCCCCTCGCTGACGCTCTGTGCCCCCTGCCCACCTTCTCCAGCCACCGCCTTCCGGCCGTTTCCACCAAAGAAAAGGAATCGTATCGTATATATCCGCTACCCAGAACCTCCACTCTTTCGACCCCTTTGCTGATGCAAGTAAGGCTGATGACCTGCTGCCTGCAGGGACAGAGGGTTCTATCCATCTAAGAATTCAACAGCGCAACGGCAGGTAGACAGACCCTTCACTGTCCAAGGGATCGCTGATGGTGATGACAAAAAGAAGTAAGTGAAGACGTTTAAGAAGAAACTTGCCTGCAATGGTACTGTGATTGAGCATCCAGAATATGGAGCAGGGATTCAACTCCAGGGTGACCAGCGCAGGAATATTGGCCAGTTCCCTGTAGAGACTGGACAGCCCAAGGCTGGCCAGCTGAAGGTTCCTGGGTTTTAAGTGCTTGTGGCTCACGGAAGATTAAGTGAGGATTTCCTTGCAATGAGTAGTAAAATTCCCTCTGTCCCTGGTCACAAGTTTAAAACCTCACAGCTTGTATGATATAGCCATTTGGCGTCCACTTTTAACTTGGACTAGTGTAATTCTTTCATGCAATACACTGACAAGAGTCATACTGTCTAAAAAAAAAAAAGGTAAAAGTGTGTATGTAGCCAGTTCTGTGCTCAGATGTTTTACAAATAAGAGTTCACCATCAAATGTGATGATCTGCATGTTCAGAGGTGGAAACAGGCGCAGGGTGGTTATCGCACAACTAGAAAGTGACAGCTGAGGATTTGAACCTGGGATGATGGATTCAGACACCGTGGGCCTGACCGCCACCTCACCCTGTTCAACCTGCAGTTGAATGGCACGCTGAGAGGGACTGCACTGTGTCACCCCAAAATGTTAGCCGCTGCTGTTACATGGCATCGAGTTCGTTCCGACTCAGAGCGACCCCAAGCACAACAGCAGGAAAGATCGCACATCCTGGGTCCTCACTGTGTCAGTCCGGGTGGACTGGAACACAAATTCGTAGACACACATATGTGTATAAGGAAGAGGTTTGTATGCAAGAACAATTGTATATTAAGAAAACAACCCAACCCAGTCCAGTCCAAGGCCATAAGTCTGATATTAGCCCATATGTCCGATACCAATCTACAAAGTCCTCTTCAGGCTCACGAAACACATGAAATGAAGCCAAATGCAGGGTGATCACAAGCCAGTGGGTAGAAAGTCTTTGGATCCAGTGGTGTTGTAAGCATCTCAGCGCTGGCAGGGGTCTCTCTGTGGCTTCTCCGGCTTCAGAGGTCTGGTTGCATCCATGTGGCTTGTCTTCTGCAATGTCTCCCAGGAAGTGGCAGAGAGAAAGGTGTCTTCCGCCTCCAAGGAGGAAGTCCCAGATTCCCCAGAATTCTCAGGAGGCCATGCCCACACAGAAGTCTCATTGGCTATCTCCAGATTGACAGCCTGGACTCCACCCCTACACTCTTCATCTTTAAATTGACACCCGATTAGGTGACTGCCACACTCACAGTTGTTCCTTTGTTTGAGTCCATCGATGCAGCTACGGCATCAATCCATCTTGTCCAAGGGCTTCCTTTGTTACACTGCCCCTCCACTTTAGCGAGCATGATGTCTTTCCCCAGGGACTGGTCTTGCCTGACATGTTGTCCAAAGAATAATAATAATCTACTCCCCTCCCCAGGGGGGATGAACCACAGAATCGTGAGTGAAGGGAGACAGCAGTCAGTGTAAGACTTGAAAACAATAATAATTTATAAGTTATCAAAGAGTCATGAGGCGGGAGAGAGGGAAAAGAGAGGAGCTGATATTATACCAAGGGCTCAAATACAAAGTAAATGTTTCAAAAATGAGGAGGGCAACATATGTGCAAATATGCTTGAAACAACTGACGTATGGAATGTTGTAAGAGCTGTAAGAGCCCCCAATAAGACGCTTTTTTTTAAGTATATGAGATTAAGTTTCATCATCTTTGCCTCTAAGGAGGTGAGGTAGTTTATTGTGCCAACCTGGCCGATAAACACATGTGGGGTTAATTGAAGGGCAGAGGGATAAATGGCTCGGTGAGCCTCTCCTTTCGAGTTCTCGGGTCTCTTGCTTTGTGGTGGTCGCACCAGGGTGCAGCTGCTTTAGCAGTTCCCTGCTTCAGCTGGCAAGGCTCACTTCCTGCAAGACATCCCCGAGGAGAAGCCGCATGGACCTACCCCGTTGCAATCCTGGGTGCTGGAACAGCCGTGTGGAGACCCCTGCCAGCACTGAGATGCTTACACGCTCACTGACTCGGCTTTCCTCCTGCAGTCGGCATCATTGTGTATGTTTTGTGAGATGGGGGAGGACTTTGTGGATTGGTGTCGGACATATGGGTGAATGTTGGACTTGTGGGCTTGGGCAGCACTGGGTTGGCGTGTTTTCTTGATGCTCACTTAACCTTTATATAAAACTCTCTTATAGGTGAGTTTCTGTGGATTTGTTTCTCTAAAACACCCAGACTCACACAGGAGGCATGTACGTCTGTACGTCTGTGACTGTACGTCTTTCAAGACATCTATTAGTTCTTGGGAAATCCATGGTACTTTCAATCATTTCACCAGCCTCATAAGTCAAACACATTGATGCTTCTCTGGTCTTTCTCATTCCATGTCCAACATTCACACGTATCTGAGGCCATTGAAAATTCCATGGCTTGGGTCAGGAGCACCTTAGTCCTCAACGTAATATCATTGCTTGTCAACACTCTAGAAAGAAATCTTATGCAGCAGATTTATCCAATGCAAATGCCTCGTTTGGTCTCTGGATGGCTGCTTCCATGACCATTGATTGTGGATCTAAGCAAGCCAAACTCCTTGGCAACTCCCATCTTTCCTCTAGTTATCATGATACTGGTCAGAGGAAACCAGCCTCTAACAACCGAGGGGTCCCTAGGCACAATTGTAAGGCGATGATATATAAAGGTCATAGTAAAGTCATCGAAGATAGGAGAGAGAGTGAAATAAAGGAGTCGGACATTTCCTGGTAGCATGCTCACCTCAGCCCCTCCTGGTGGTCCAAATGGAGGTGGGAGAAGAGAGGGAGTCTTTATTGTCTTGGGACATGTATAGGTAGACATAAGACATGCATATTCAGCAGTTACATGCGTCACAAGGTGGGTGGTAACCATAGTAAGGTCCCTCAGCTCACAGGTGAGGAAACCTAATACCTGCATTGGGAGAAGGGGGGGGGGCCTGGGTGCCAAGGAGGGAGGAGATAACAAAAGGTCTGCTTCTATGGGGAGATAGAATCAACCATGTGCTACTTTAAGGCAGCATAGCTGTTCAGAGGAGAGTCTGTGTGAATGGCTATTTAAAGTAGGATCATGTACTTGGACTTTAACTTACCAAAGTGGAGGCTTTCCCACCATGGAATACCAGCTTTCCAGATTCCCTCTGTGATAAGTTATGGGATATGGTCCTCGTCCTATTTCCCTCAGTGCCAGTTTCCCACAATATTAACTATTGGTCCGGCTGGGAGGTGTTGGTCTTCTTTAGATTGAGTTGTACTCTGTACTGAAGGTTTCGATCCTTGATCTTCATCAGCAAGTGCTTCACTTTCAGCAAGCAAAGTTGGGTCCCCTGGATATTGAAGGCTGTTAATAGCCTCCTACAGAACCTTTATGCAGTGGCATAGTGGTTATGCCTTGGGCTGCTAACCACATGATCCAATGTTCAAACCCACCAGGCCTCCCTCAGGGAGAAAAACAAAACTGTCTACTCCTAGAAAGAGTTCTAGTCTGGGAAACTGACAAGAGTGTTGAGGTCGTTATTTATTGTGCCAACCTAGCCGATAAACACATATGGGATTAATTGAGGGGCAGAGGGATAAATGGCTAGGGTCTCTTGCTTTGTGGTGGTTGCACCAGGGTGCAGCTGCCTTAGCACTTCCCTGCTTCAGCTGGCAAGGCTCACTTCCTGCAAGACATCCCCGAGGAGAAGCCACATGGACCTACCCCGATGCAGGCCTGGGTGCTGGAGCAGCCGTGTGGAGACCCCTGCCAGCGCTGAGATGCTTACACATTCACTGACT